CTGATGATCACAGTGACCAGCTACACCAGAACGGACATATTTCGCATCTAACTCAACCCCATGCAACAAAAATTGATACTATGTGTTCATTATGGTACATTCCTTCTCGACGAAAAAGTACATAAGTGAAAATTTAGTCAAAGACGAGAAAACTGCAGAAGAAATTTGCCTTATTTACACGTATCGGCAATGCAAGCTGCCATGCGACTTCCCCTTCTGACGTCACAAGGGGAATTTCTGTATGCAAATAAGAAGCTAATGAGAAGCCTCGTTTTAAAATACACAAAAAATAAAGTAGCAGCCATTTCACAGGCACTTTAAAGTTTGTGGTAATCACTGTACATAATATAAATCAACATTGTACTTGCACGTTTTTCACCAGTAATCATTATTTATGTTTTCAAATTACTGTATATATTTAGTGTTGACCACATTGCTACTATGTAATCAGCTGCCAGTTATTCTAACACATTTTACACAATGAAAACTACCATACATATGACCTAATCTAACTGACTCTTTCCCACAATGATTACTGAATTAAATAATATACACAAATGTCATATATATTCTTAACCTGAATATTTTCAACTGAATGCTATCCGAAATTGAATCTGTGCAACTGGATCCTGTCCATACTGAAACTTAACTACACTGGCTTAGAGCATTAATTGGGCATATTGACTACTGTATGCACCATGTTAACTTTTAATCAAACCAACCTTCACTAAACACACACTCTCTACTAGATGTCTGTAATCCCTAAACCACAAGAACCATGTCAAATGAAGCACTGTTCACATAAATCTCTGTAATCTATTGAAACGTAACCAAAATCTCTAGAATGTTCATACAACTATTTTCATTTTCTAGGTATTCCCTGTCTACCACCATGTCAGAATAATGGCAAGTGTGTTAATAGGAGGTGTGTGTGCCCTGAAGGTGTCAGTGGACCTACATGTTCTATAGGTAATACTATTTATTGTTTACCTGTCTTCATTTTCGCACTTTAGGATTAACCATTGGTATTGGTAATGACCATTTTATGGACTGACTGTCTTCGTATAGGTCATTTTTGTGGACTGGCTGCCTTTGTATAGGCGTTTTTATGGACTGGCTACCTTCGTATAGGCATTTTTATGGACTGGCTGCCTTTGTATAGTCGTTTTTATGGACTGGCTGCCTTCGTATAGGCGTTTTTATGGACTGGCTGCCTTCGTATAGGCGTTTTTATGGACTGGCTGTCTTCGTATAGGCGTTTTTATGGACTGACTATTTTCGTATACTGTAGAATACTTTATTTTCGCTTGGAATTTATTTTCGCTATTTTCGCTGAAAGGATGATTCCGTGAAAATAAAATCCAGCGAATACACATTTTTTCCTATATTTCTATATAAACTCATCAAAAATCAGTGAAAATATATTCTATACAAAACATCCAAAAAGCCTTTTCAGCGAAAATTAATTCCAGCGAAAATAAAGTATTCCACAGTAGGTCATTTTTGTGGACTGGCTACCTTCGTATAGACTTTTTTATGGACTGGCTGCCTTCGTATGGGCGTCTTTATGGACTGGCTGCCTTCGTATAGGCATTTTTATGGACTGGCTGCCTTCGTATAGGCGTTTTTTATGGACTGGCTGCCTTCGTATAGGCATTTTTATGGACTGGCTGCCTTCGTATGGGCGTTTTTATGGACTAGCTACCTTCGTATAGGCGTTTTTATGGACTGGCTGCCTTCGTATAGGTCATTTTTGTGGACTGGCTGCCTTCGTATAGGCGTTTTTATGGACTGGCTGCCTTCGTATAGGCATTTTTATGGACTGGCTGCCTTCGTATGGGCGTTTTTATGGACTGGCTACCTTCGTATAGGCGTTTTTATGGACTGGCTGCCTTTGTATAGGTCATTTTTGTGGACTGGCTGCCTTCGTATAGGCGTTTTTATGGACTGGCTGCCTTCGTATAGGCATTTTTATGGACTGGCTACCTTTGTATAGGGGTTTTTATGGACTGGCTGCCTTCGTATAGGCATTTTTATGGACTGACTGCCTTCGTATAGGCATTTTTATGGACTGACTACCTTCGTGTGGGCGTTTTTATGGACTGGCTGCCTTCGTATAGGCATTTTTATGGACTGGCTACCTTTGTATACGGGTTTTTATTGACTGGCTGCCTTCATATAGGCGTTTTTATGAACTGGCTGCCTTTGTATAGGCATTTTTATGGACTGACTACCTTCGTATGGGCGTTTTTATGGACTGGCTGCCTTCGTATAGGCATTTTTATGGACTGGCTACCTTCGTATAGGCGTTTTTATGGACTGCTGCCTTCGTATAGTTGTTTTTATGGACTGGCTGCCTTTGTATAGGCATTTTCATGGACTGGCTGTCATGGCAATGCTTTATTGTGGTATTGGCCTTTTATATGGCCTTGCTGTCTTGGTTTAATCCTTCATATGACCCTGCATGCTTGTGGTAATAGCCATTTTGATGGATTGGCTTGTATGTGGTATTGGTCACTTATATGGAGTGCTTGTATTGGCCATTTCATGGACATGCTTGTCTGGGTATTAGCCATGTTTATTGACTGGCTGCATTGCCCATTTTTATGGTCTTCGAGTTTTGTGGTATTTGGCCATTTGGTGGATTGGTTTTGATGTGGTATTGGTCATTTATATTGACTGGTCCTTTTGTCAATTTCTATTGACTGGCAGTCTTAGTATTGGCCATTTTTATTTACTGGCTCTCTTGGTATTTGGCCATTTTGATGGAGGCTTTGATGTGGTATTGGTCATTTATATTGACTTGTCTTAGTATTAGCCATGTTTATTGACTGATTCCATTGCCCATTTTCATGGCTTTCGAGTCTTGTGGTATTTGGCCATTTGGTGGATTGGTTTTGATGTGGTATTGGTCATTTATATTGACTGGTCCTTTTGTCAATTTCTATTGACTGGCAGTCTTGGTATTGGCCATTTTTATTTACTGGCTCTCTTGGTATTGGCCAATTTTATTTACTGGTTGTCTTGGTATTGGCCATTTTGATGAATTGGCTTTGATGTGGTATTGGTTATTTATATTGACTGGTCCTTTTGTCAATTTCTATTGACTGGCAGTCTTGGTATTGGCCATTTTTATTTACTGGCTCTCTTGGTATTGGCCAATTTTATTTACTGGTTGTCTTGGCATTGGCCATTTTGATGAATTGGCTTTGATGTGGTATTAGTTATTTATATGGTCCTGCTTTCTTGTGGTGTTGGACATTTTTATGCTCTAGCTGTTTTGGTATAGAACTTTTTTATGGACTGGCTGTCTTTATATTGTCTTGTGGTATTGGCCTTTTATATGGCCTTGTGTCTTGGTATTGGAAATGTATGTGTCTTACGTTCTTGGTATTGACCATTTTTATGGACTGGCTGTCTTGGTATTGACCATTTATTTGGTTGCTGTCTTAGTGTTGGCCATTTTGTTGGATTGTCTTTCCTGTAGTATTGGTCATTTCTATGATCTAGAGAGATTTACTCTGTATTGATGAATATTTCTATTTCCCACTAGATGTGAATGAATGCACTGCTGGCATGATGAGCCCATGTAGTTATCACTGTGTCAATACATTAGGTAGTTTCTACTGTACATGTCCACATAACTTTGTATTAAATGACGACCAAAGGACTTGTAAAGGTATGTACAACATCGGTGATGTCATGTATTAGTGATTAGTTTTTATAGCAGGCATGAGAATATTACTTTCATACATTTTACCTGATCTGGTGGATATCAATTTATTAAATTGTTGATGAAAGCATATTTGATTCAGAATCTGCATGTGGAATACCTTTATTACATATTGTGCAACCCTGGTGTAT